ATATATATATTTTATTCTTCCCGTCCTCTTTTTAAATTAAAATTTATAATGATAAAAAGACGCTCACATAAAATGATAAAAAAATAATTATAATGGATTTAATTAAATAATTAAATTTTATTATAAAAAGAAAACTAATTATATAGTTTTTCTTTTTTTTTTCTCAACACACTTGGTACATTATTATAACTCAAATTATAAACTATTACTATTTTAAAAATTATCTCATCTTTTAATGGATAGTCTAAAAATTGGATGGAAATAAAATTTAATTTGCTTTGCTATTTGTTGTTTGATGTTTCTTTTGCTTTTTTTTTTTCGTTTTTTCGTTTATGTTTTTTAACTAATCGTTCTGTTTTTTAATGGCTAATAATTTCATTTTGTTTCATTTTGTTTTTTTTTTTTACAAAGTTGAATTGTTTTTTTTAAATGTTTCATTCTTTTTTTTCTTCTATGCTCTTTTGAATTCACTTCTTCCATTTTTTCTTTTTTATCAACACCTCAATTGATATAATAATGATCTCATATTTATTTTTTTTATTATTGAGAAATGTAATTATTAATTATGTTTGAAAAAAAGTTTTATTCCGAAAATTTCAAAAAAAAATAGAGAGATAATGAAATAATATTAGAATAATAAATCAAAATAAAATGATAGGTGTAAAAAAGAAAAATTAAATGATCAGGAATTACTAACATTATGAAAATAGTTAGGGATAGTCTTGGAATAATAAAGGTGTGTAGAAAGTAAATTTAATCCTTTCAAAATTATGAGGGGTGTGTATATAGAAAGGAGGTGTGGAGAGTAAAAAAGAGAGTGTTAATAGAACTACTCTTAGTATAAACATAGAGTGAATACTAAATTGTGATAATAAACTTCCTATATTAATTCTTTTGGCCTTCTTGGTATTTGATAATTGCAAACTTAATATTTTTAAGAAAACAATTAAAACACCATTATATTCAGTCTCCTCCTTCTTTGTTGCATGTTTATTAGTGTCAAATATTTTTTAATTCTTTAATTGTGATAGGTTACAACAATTATAATAAATTACAAATTTAAATGTCATAACGCAAATCGGCAATAATAGAATGACTACTGCTTTAATTAAGGTTCACACGGTTAGGGAAAAGAAAAATAGAAAACGACGAACACTTTGATTTAAATCAAGTAAATCTATAAAATGGTAAATTTTATATAATCTCTATACAAATCGACGATAATATAATGTATATGCAATAGAAAGTGAAAATACGAGGTGTACTTTTATATGTACTTTTAGAAGTATGGTTTAGATTTTTTTCTCTTGAAGTATATCTTTAAGCATTGATATTCAATAGAATCACACAAAAAATTTATAATTCTGTTATTGTATTTTTCTTTCACAAAAAATTTAAAATTTAAATATCAAAATTAAGAATTATTAATTTAAACGCATAAATTAAACGAGCCCGATATAGATTTTATTTTATTTGTTATTGTTATTGTTTTTTTTTTCTTTTTGCTAATCTAGTATAGATTAGATTGACTTGTGATGTGAGTTGTAAGGAGTGATCCTCTTTGATAAAAGGTTGCAAACTTGACTCAGCGAGATCTAGTGCACTGGATTGTAAGAGTGGATTCATGGAAAAAAGTGCAACATGGGCCCGAATTTGCGGGCCCCGCAGCATGGTTCTCGACCCAATTAGTTGTGACTTCCGGATCTAGGCCTCTATCTTGTCTGGATCACGTTTTATCCGTTCTTCCACTTGTCCTCTTGTGGATGGAAGACACATGTAACAAATTAACAATAGCTTCAAGTTCAATTATATTTGCCGTCCTATCCTTTACTTTATGGGTGTTCATCGGTTCGGTTTTGTCAGTTTTGGTCGGTTTGTTGGCCGAATCGATTATGTCAGTTTTCTAAAAGTTAGAATCGAAACTGAACTGCACCTATCAATTTCAGTTTGGTTAACTGAATTTTAATTTCGGTTCGGTTTCGGTCAGTTTTGGTCGGTTTTCAGTTTTAGTAATCAGAAGGATGACCTCAGTTAACCATCAGGTTACCAACATTTTTTACCCGTAAGTACGAAAAAATGTAAAATTTTCCTTCAATGTGAAGTTGCAAACACGTAATCACAATAAATGAATACAAGCACAACATCAAAATTGATAATTGCATAACCGACTCTCTACACAGAAAACCAAAACCGAACCGACTTTTGAGGATGTCGGTCGGTTAACCGAACCGAATGTGTTCGGTTCCACGTGGCACCGTCATTTTCAGTTTTGAGCGGTCAATTTTCGGTCGGTTTCGGTTTTACGATTTTTTTGTACACTCCTACTTTACTTCATAAGTTTTTGTTTTTATTTATTATTTTTTTGTTCTGTACCTTTACTCCCGAAGTTGAACAAATAAAAAAAAAAGGAAAATACACGGTATAACATATTTTATACCTATATTTAAAATGAATAGCATATTTTTTAAATAATAGTAAATTATAGCACATTCACATTTTACTTCTAAAATAGATGTTTCAATTTATAATTTACCCTTTTTAAGATCTAATCCTAAAATACCAATCTTAATCTAACATTATCTTTCTTTCTTTATCTCTCTCCCAGCCATTTCATTTTTCTCTCTTCCGGCGCCATTTCATTTTTCTCTCTCTCTTCCGGCCGATCCCAAATATTAAGTTGACGTCTGATTCATAAATTTAGAACTATAATTTATAACTATTCTTATTTTACGTGTATTTTTTATGAGAAAAAATACTGTAAAAAAATACTGTAAAGAACTATGAATCATAATTCAGAATTATAGACAAATATAGGAAATAAACATCCCTTAAAATAACGTTTGATTTATAGACTCAGAATCGTAATTTATAATTTTAATTTTTAAAATTTAAATTTTTTTATGAGAGAAAAATATTATAGAAAATTAAAAATCATAATTCAAAACCAATCCGAATTTGCGGGCCCCGCAGCATGGTTCTCGACCCAATTAGTTGTGACTTCCGGATCTAGGCCTCTATCTTGTCTGGATCACGTTTTATCCGTTCTTCCACTTGTCCTCTTGTGGATGGAAGACACATGTAACAAATTAACAATAGCTTCAAGTTCAATTATATTTGCCGTCCTATCCTTTACTTTAGGGGTGTTCATCGGTTCGGTTTTGTCAGTTTTGGTCGGTTCGTTGGCCGAATCGATTATGTCAGTTTTCTAAAAGTTAGAATCGAAATCGAACCGCACCTATCAATTTCAGTTTGGTTAACCGAATTTTAATTTCGATTCGGTTTCGGTCGGTTTTGGTCGGTTTTCAGTTTTGGTAATCAGAAGGATGACCTCAGTTAACCATCAGGTTACCAGCATTTTTACCCGTAAGTACGAAAAAATGTAAAATTTTCCTTCAATGTGAAGTTGCAAACACGTAATCACAATAAATGAATACAAGCACAACATCAAAATTGATAATTGCATAACCGACTCTCTACACAGAAAACCGAAACCGAACCGACTTTTGAGGATGTCGGTCGGTTAACCGAACCGAATGTGTTCGGTTCCACGTGGCACCGTCATTTTCAGTTTTGAGCGGTCAATTTTCGGTCGGTTTCGATTTTACGGTTTTTTTGTACACTCCTACTTTACTTCATAAGTTTTTGTTTTTATTTATTATTTTTTTGTTCTGTACCTTTACTCCCGAAGTTGAACAAATAAAAAAAAAAAGGAAAATACACGGTATAACATATTTTATACCTATATTTAAAATGAATAGTATATTTTTTAAATAATAGTAAATTATAGCACATTCACATTTTACTTCTAAAATAGATGTTTCAATTTATAATTTACCCTTTTTAAGATCTAATCCTAAAATACCAATCTTAATATAACATTATCTTTCTTTCTTTATCTCTCTCCCAGCCATTTTTTTTCATTTTTCTCTCTCTTCCGGCGCCAATTCATTTTTCTCTCTCTCTTCCGGCCGATCCCAAATATTAAGTTGACATCTGATTCATAAATTTAGAACTATAATTTATAACTATTCTTATTTTACGTGTAATTTTTATGAGAAAAAATACTGTAAAGAACTATGAATCATAATTCATAATTATAGACAAATATAGGAAATAAACATCCCTTAAAATAACGTTTGATTTATAGATTCAGAATTGTAATTTATGATTTTAATTTTTAAAATTTAAATTTTTTTATGAGAGAAAAATACTATAGAAAATTAAAAATCATAATTTAAAACCAATGACCGATACATACGACAAACATCCCCTTGTCTCCGCGGCGGCGACGGTGTAACTGTCGCGATGAGTGGCGACGAAAATGGCGAACCAATGGCGAGTTCGTTCTCGGAGATGGCGATCTCTCTCTCATCACGAGGATTGGAGAACCTTTGTCGGAGAAAAAGAACGGAACGCCGCTCGCGAACCAAAACGCGCCGTCACGAACAGATCCGACCAAATTTGGCTGACTTCGTGAATCAACCATCACTGGCCTTCTAGTTCCTGTCGTCGCAAAGGAGATCCCGACCAAGAAAACCGCCCGCCGTCGTCGCGCTGCCATTGAGAAGCTCAGATCTGCTTTGTTTCCGTCGCAACCGTACCGAAGCTTCTCCGACGTCTGATTTGGTCTCTCCCCCCTAGCGAATTTTATAATCTGAGAAGACTAAGGACGATAAAAGATTAATACCTAGAAAGAAAAGCAAGACATTATCCATGATATTTTATAGTTTCAAGTATCCCAATTATAGTTTCATGAATATGGTTCTTTATTTGAATTTTTCTCCTTTTGCCTCAAAGTTTTCTCCTCATAAATTTGAACAAGGAGGAGGAGCTGGCTATGCCGCTCTGAGTTGGCTTTTTAGGCAACCAGAACGTCCATTTTCTCATCAATTCATTTTGAGTTTTGAAATTCAATCAAAAAAATCCACGGACATATACGATTATCGGAAGTTATATCTATCCTATGGCAAATGCGTATACACTATCTGGTTTTGAGTTATTGGATGGAATGCCTTTTTTTTTCTTTTTTTTTTTTCTTTTAAAATAGATGAGATATGGGATTGATGTTGCAATATGAGGACTATAAGGGAAAATACAGAATGTGCTTTTCTTCATTAGTCTAGCACTGACTATTCACATTTACTGTTGTTTATTTTTAATTTTTAATTTTTTCTTTTTTGAACGACTTGATTTTTTTTCCTGTGATTTTAATACTCTACTTACCGGTAACTATGATATTTAATGCGATTTTTACCAGGAAATACGGTATTTACTAATCATCAAAGTTGGTCTTTAAATTTTTAAGTAAATATAGTATTTACCAGTTGATGGAGCCAATCGCCATATTTTTGAATAATATGATAAATATGGTATTAATTGGTAAATATAATATTTACAAGTCACCGGATGTGGTGTTAGATTTTCAAATAAATATGGTAAATATGGTATTTACTAATAAATATACTGTTAAATAGTCACCGGAGTCGGTGGCTAAATTTTTAAATAAATATGATTTTTACTAGTGAATACAGTATTTACCGGTAAATATAGTATTAAACAGTCGCTAGAGTCGGTAGCCGATTTCGGATAAGATTTTACTAGTAAATATGGTATTTATTGGTAAATAAAATGTTAAACGGTCGCCAAAGTCGGTAACTAAATTTTTAGATAAATATAAATTTTCCTAGTAAATACATTATTAACAGGTAAATACAGTATTTATCGGTAAACATAGTGTTAAACGGTCATTAGAAAATAGTCGCCGGCATCGGCCGCAGAAAAATAGTCGCCGGAGCTGGTAGCCGGATTTTTGGATAAATATATTTTTACTAGTAAATACGGTATTTACCAGTAAATATAATGTTTACTGATAAATACAATGTTAAACAGTAATCAAAAAACAGTCACCGGCATCACCCCTGAAAAATAGCAACCGGAGCCGACCGCTGGTTACTGGCACCGACCATAATCTATCTTTTATACAAAAATATACTATAATCTATCAAATATGTTATAATTTACTATTTTGTAAAAAATATAGGTTTAAGAGGAAAAAGAGAGGTGGAAAAGAAGGTTTAGGAATGCTTTTAAGTTTTTAATAATGTTGGATACTTAAAATATCAAATTATGCTATAATCTACTATTTAAAAAATGTAATAATTTACTAAAGATCCTATCAGATATGCTATTTTTCTCATTCTCCCTATAAAAAATAAATAAATAAATTCTGTTATAATTTACTATTTTTTTAAAAAATGCTATAATTTACTAAAGATCCTAGCAAATATGTTATTTTTTTTTTCATTTTCCCAGTAAAAAATAATCAAAATATATAAACACAACTAGCAGTTCAGTAATTGTGGAAATATGTTTTGAGAGGTTGATTTAATTGATTGATTTAAATATCTTTGGAAGGAAGACAAACAAACATTTAAAATATCAGTTTTCGTCTTTGATTATAAGTGTAGAAACCAATTTTGAGAAGTCAGTAATCATTTGCATAGCTGCATTAGTTTTTGGGATAAATTAAAAATATGTTTATCTGCACATTTTTTGGTTTCTAACGTTTAGTGCAGAAACAAAAAATAGTAAATACTCTGTCATGTGATCCTCGTTCTAGAAAAAAACATAAATTTATGTGTAATTCATAAATAATTGAAAAGATTTCGGGCCACCGGCTACGGGATGAAGATCTAGGTCCGGACCAGATATTTGGGTTGGCCCAGATCTTTATGCAGGCCATATATCGGGTTAAACAGATGGGCTACGTACTGGCCCGTTGAGCCTGGTCCATTTCTGGCAAAATAACATGGTTCATTGTACAAATAGTCCCTCAAGTTTATCATTTATCCCGTTTAGTCTCCGATTTTTAAAATATCTCACAATTAATCCTTAAAATTTTATTTTGCTTCAATTTTGATCCTTACATTACTTAGGTATTATTTATTTTGGCAGAATTTGTAAAAAATAAAGGATGAAAATTGGAAACGGTAGTGATCGTAACAATATAAAAAATAAATGTTAATTTTCACATATAGTCTTTAAATTTTAATTGTTTTTAATTTTAATCTTTCATTTACACAGATTTCACCAAATATTTTAACACTCAATTAATGAAAGGACTGGATTAATTATAGAACATTGTAAAAACTATTGTCCAAAGTAAATTTAAAGTAAATTTTAGGGCTAGCTGTGAAATTAACTCAAAATAGCATGATACACGTAGGTCTCGTTCACTTTGCGGATTTGAGTTTTTAATTCGAGCTGAGATGTGACATTTTATTAGAATTTTTACTGTAGTAAAAAAAAATTAGATGTGACATTTTTTTAAAACCTTTTACTGTAGAAAGTTAAAATTAAAAATTTGAATCGGTAAAATTAATACACCGTATGTTTTCTTATATTTTGCAAAATAATAATAATAATAATAAAAAAGAGTACGACTTTTCAAAAGAAAGAGGATGCCAAGTCTGACCTTCTAAAATTGATTTGACAACCGAAGAAACCTGACATTCCAAGCAGAGGGAACAAACCAGCAACCCACCTCAAGAAATCAAAGACCCAAGATCAGGACTCTGAAATCTCTTGACGCTTTGAGAGAGTTTCAGACCCAAAACTAAAACAAAGAAACCAAAAAGAAAAGAAAAATGGGGTTCTTCACTCTCGCCATAGGAGGCCTTGGTTTCATCTTCATCGGCGCATGGCAAGCCTTCACCTTCTCTACCCCAAAACCAAATCAAATCTCTCTTCCATCTTCTCCTCTCACACACTCATCTTCCAAGCCAAGCCCATCTCCTTCTTCTTCTTCTTCGTCGTCTTTATCTTTCCTCTGCATCTCAGTCTTCTCCTTCCTCTTCATCCTCAACTCGCTCTTCTCCTTCGTCGACGCCCTCAAGTCACGCGACCGAGTCGGCACAGCCCTCCAATTGCAGGTCCTCGCCATCGCCGCCCTCTTCTTGCTATACGGCGTCGCCGGACTCCTCGTAAATTCCGCCAATTCCTTCTCTTTGCCTTCTTCGCTTCTCGATTCGATCCTTCTCTTCGCTTTCATCGAAGAGTTTCTGCTGTATTACCTCCAAAGAAAGGACCAAAGCGGAATCGAGAATCAGTACTTCGATCTCTTGCTCGTCCCCATTGCTGTTTGCGTGATTTCCACGATTCTCGACCTGAAATCCCCCCAGAATTCGAACTTTCCCAAATTCTTTCGCGGCGTGGGGCTGATTCTCCATGGAATGTGGTTCGTTCAAATGGGGCTCTCGTTTTACACGAACTTGATCTCCCATGGGTGTTCTTTGCACGAGAAGAGTAGAGGCAATTACTCGGTGAAGTGTAAGGGACATCCTGAGTATCACAGGGCTAGGTCAATTGCGACGCTTCAGTTCAATTGTCATCTTGCTCTTTTCGTGGTTTTGGTGTCGTTTATGTACTCTTTAATCTCCCGGAGATATGGAAGCAATGGTGAGTTTATGCCGTATCGGCCGCTCGTCGAGGAAATGCAGCCATTCGAGAATCAGAATCAATTCACTTTGGATTCTGATGAAGATGATGTTGGTGAGGAAGGAATTAGGGAAGAGCAAAATGTGGTTTCAAAGCAAAAGGCAAGTATCGTGGAACATGGTTTGAATGGTCATGCATCTCATCAGTGAGTTATAATATTGAACAATTTTATTCATTTTTCATTTCTATAGATGAATATGGGAATTGCCCTTTATAATGTTTTATAGATTTGGCTTTTAGATCTATGCATACATTGAGTTGTAAATTGTAATTCGGGTTATATTGTTCTACAACTTAGCTTGTTTTGTAATGGGTGCTGTATTGTTAACTGGTTCATTGATGAAATGTGACTGATTTGGCTACCGATAGTTTGTATTGTAAGATGCATGATTTATGAATGCATAAATGATTGCTTGAAAATTTTGTACTCAAGTCATATAAAAAAGAGTCATATTATGCCTGTAAGATGCCGTGTTTTACAGGGAAATTTCAGAAGGATGAGGGTTGCATCATGTGCATATTATTGGGTATATTTTTCCATCTTATCTGGTTCTTGGACAATGCTAATTATGAGAGGCTTGTGAGTTTTTCCAAGTGCATTTTCCATCTCTTATAAGCACCCAATGTAGCATAACTCCCTCAAAGATGTGACAAGTAGTCAACAGTGCTTTTCTATTAATAACATAACAAAAATGTGGTGGAAAGAGGAGACCCCGATATTGGTAACCAAAGACACTTTAAATTCGACTCCGGATATGTTTTGGATGGGTTTGGTTTGATCTGCACTTTTTTTTTTCTTCCCCTTTTTGCTAGATTGCTCTTGAGTCTTGACCTGCTTTAGTAATGTTGGGTTACGACTTTTCACCACCTACTGGAATTTGAAGCCTAGCCAAATCATAATTATGCCGGAGTTGTAGGTGGACAAAGTGGTCCTTGAAGTTTATTACTCTTATGTTTTGGATTATTGAGCCTTTTCCACTTGACCATAAATCTGTTCGTACATCAACTCTATGACTGTGCAATTATACAGTTACCAATCTTTTGCATCCATGGTAAGGTTTTATATTAAAGGTAAGAACTTTATCATAACTTTTCTTACCTTAAAACACGTTTATAACTTAATCTAACATTTATTTATTTTTTTACAGGAGAATGAATACTATCAAGATTTTTGCTTTCCCCTTCAAATGACTACTAGAATTGTCATAATTCCTCATAGTATATTTATGATGTCTAATTTTATCATTCATTTAACACTGCTTCATCTTGAAGTCCTTTTTGAACATGTTTGGATGAACAATCTTAAAATATTTTTGACTTTTTTAAGCACTTTTAGAACAATCAATCTCTTTAGTGTTTATGAAAAGCTTTTTTATTTACATTTTTAACCTTTTATTTGTAAACAACAAATTTAATATCTCATTTATATCTTTTTATTACGGTATTTTTTATAACATTAAGTGCTTTTAACTTTTTCACCCAAACAGATTTAAAAGCTCTTGTTAAATATAAAAATATTTTTTCAGACACTATCTAAACACTAATAAAAGAATCTTAACTTATGTTTATCTTCTTCTACTACTTAAAAGCACAAGCACAAGCTATCACAAACGGATCTTAATGCTATGTTTGGTAGGATGGATAGAAAAGAGGAAGAAAAGAGAAGTAAAATACCTACGTGAAAGAAGTAAAATAGTTTTCTCTCATATTGTTTGGTAGAAGAGAAAAAAAAGTGAAAAGAAAATGTCAAATTTAAGATATTTTACAATAATACCCCAATACAAATAAAAATATGATGAATGATAAAGGTTAAAATTGTTATTTTACATCTCATTTTTTATCAAATTTTTTTCCTCCTATTTTCTTCCCAAAATTAGAAGGATTAAAAATTAGTACGCCTCATGAATTTTTATTTTCCTTCCTTCTTCATTTTCTTTCTATCAAACAATCTAAAATTCAATTTTCCTCTACAAAATTATTTTTCTATTTTCTTTCCTCTTTCTTTTTCACCCTACCAAACACACCGTAAAAGTCCTTTGCACAACCCAAAAGCTTTTGCCTCAAAAGATGTAATGTGTATATTTCATTTAATCAGAACATCAGATTATCCGCCACGCATATCTGGGCTTGAGAAAAACAGAGCAAACAGAACCCTTTTTCTGTGAGCAACTTCATCTTGTTCTGCGCTCATTACAACGAATTGGTCACCCCTTTGTGGATTCAAAATTCTTACGCTATGGGTTAGGTCTTCCTGAGCTAGCCGCCTTCTCTTTCAAGTAACTATAAAATATCTGGAACAATCAAAAATTTTTTTTTTCCCCTAACTTTGGCTAGATAGAGATTGGTCTCTTCAAATGCGCATTATTGTTTGTCCGACTTAAAACATTGAGAAAATTATGACACGAGGCGGCGAAGTTGGTTTTTGAGTCTCCAAAATTATTCTCGCCTCGCGTTCAGGAGTCCACCCGTTCACACCTTTAAATGATGTTCGAGTCCAGAAATCTTTTTTTCTTTTTTTTTTTTTTCTTCTTCTTCTTCTTCTCGTTACATGTCATTTCATTTTCTAATGAAAATGAAGCATAACCACAAACCAGTATTACAACTCTGCCACTTCTTTCCTGATTAATAAAAAGAGAATCTTGAAAGTTTGTTTTATAATATATTACAAGAGTACTAATGCTTATTTTTTTATGATACTACATGATTACTGTTTAAAGAAAAAATATGTTTAGAAATTTGAAAACGAGATATATATATTTATATATATCAATGGTTACTCCAATAATTAATGATCAATATGTATTATTCTTTTAGCCACAAGAATGCATGATATTAATTCGACGGTTGTAATAAATTGAATAGTTGATAAAAAAAATATTAAAGACAATTAATGAAATTAAATTCTTATCACGTCACGTCACTAAATTTTTATATTTAAAGATGACCAGCGATGAAAATGTGATCATTAAAAACTAATCCATATATCACATATACATATATAACTTCATAATATATAATGTTTTTTGAAAACGAAACCGTATATACTATATATACATATATTCTGTTAAAAACGGTTATATATAAAAGTATAATATATATAACAAAACCTTAGAACCTCTATATATACACTATTAACAATCGTTAGGCATACAAACGCTCATATGTATTAGTCAACGATTTTTTTTTTTTTTTAGGAATTAATCCACGATCTGATAAAAATACTAAAAAAAACTATGGTTATTATTATGTATAAATAGTGGCAGAGATATATTAAAATGTAAAATAATGGTTTATTTTATATGCTTCAATTTTATTAGAAAGTGTGGTAAAAGGAGAGAAAAATAGTGAGAAATAGAGTATGGTTAAACAATTGATCTGGAGAGAGACATAGAATAGGAAGATAGCACAAGATAGGGATCATGATCATTATCGAAACAATATAAAAACAAATAACTAATCAATATTGCGCAAGTTTACACCATTAGGTTTTCATCATCTATGGTAAATCTTTATTTTTTTTCCCTAATATATGATAGGACATGTCCTACGTATGTGATTCAGAAAACAAAGAATTCAACGGACAACAGTTATGAAGGATAAATTAAACTGATTATCTTTCTTAAAAAGATAAGATCCAACAACTCAGCGAACTTGTTGTCTTTCCATGGCTATAATAGACCAAAGGAAAAAAAAGGACAAATTATATAGATACATTAATTACGTACCTTGATTAAATAATCAACAAGAACCATTTGAGCCATAATATTAATAATAATAAGAATAAAAAACTCAGCCGTGAAAGTTGTTGTCCTTCCACGTCTAGTGTTTTAAAAAACCAAAAGGATTAACATTCAAAATAGATAAAACCATCGTAAAATAGGGCAGTAAGTCACCTCAAAAAGTTGAATACTGGAAAACATAAAGTATAACAGCTCATGAAATTAACCACACTACCAAAATAAACCATTCATTCATTTCTTCATCTTCATACATTGATTACTTTAGCACTGAAACTATATATATATTTGCAGATCACATATCCACTACAACCAATCCAAATATTTTCATATACTATATTATAACACGCACAACGACATAATATAACATATTAACATGACACTTCCACATACACAAAAATAAAAATAATCAAGCAAATTAACGAATATAATTAATTGAGGACTTGATCTCCTGATCATCTTTTGGACTTTCGTCAACAATAATCAGGATCTTTTTAAACGACAACGTTGTATAGAGCATTAATCCCTTGAATATCATCCGCATTCAAACCCTTGGTGAGTCCCGAGCCAATCTGCGGATACATGATTGCTCCTTCAACCGAGCTGTGCAAGAGCCCTAGAATGTGCCCTATCTCATGCAAAGCCACCGTCTCCACGTCGAACGCGTCCGCGACCTCACCGATAGCCCAAGTCTCGTCGGCATCGAAGTGCAGCCTCCCGTCGGTCGGAGAGAACGCGTGAGCCAAGACCCCGCCGGCCCCGTCGAAAGCGTCGCCGTCACCGTGATCGCCGCGCTCAAAACTGACCCTGATATCGGCCTTCGTGTTGCCTTGGGCCCTGGAAAAGCTGAAGTGTGTGTTTGAAGCCCACGTCTGAAAGGCCCGGCCCACTGCTTCCACGTCTTCCGACAGCATCCCCTCTGCGAAGCTGTAGGTCAGGCTGTACTTGGAGGATGGCCACTTTGGTTTTCCGGAGAAGAAGGAGTAGTGGGAAACCGTTTGGAGATCATCGGTAGAGACATATTTTTGTCCGAGTAATTTCCTATGGACGTGGTTTTTAGTACTACTAGTTGTACTTTTTTTCTTCGAGCGCATTCTTGTGTCGTTATTTATGATATCTGCCACGGCACAACGAGGCATCATCATTTTGGACAAGGTTTGGGAGTCCAAGGTGCCGGTGGGTTTGAGGTTGTAGTTGGTTTGGTATGTTTTAATGGCGGCTTCCAAGAGATCATCGAAAGTACTATCATTGGCAGTACTAATATCGTTATTAATACTGTTGTCATTAAGAGAATGGCCGGTGATTTGGGTTTTGGTAATTTGTGTAGGGTTTAAGTAGCCAAAGTGTTGGAGGTACTTTTTTAGGTCACGAATGCCTTGGACTTTGTCACCCTTCTTAGATCCCTCAAGATGTTTGAGAAATCCAAAGGGTGATGAAGAAGTTGGTTTGTGATGACCATGATCATCATGATTGACTTCAACGTGTGAATGATGATCACCATGAGCTGAAAGGAAATCGAGAGAGCTGATGATCATGATCATGATGATCAGGATCAGTGTGTACTTGGTGAAAAGCGAATGGTGATGAAGAGAGAATTTAGAAGTCATGACTAGGCCGGGAAATATAATGCTAGCTAGCTACGTGATATGAATATGATTATAAGTAGAAGATCCCCCTTTTTTTTTTTTGGAGATGATTTTCTATGTGTTTTGATATGTAGATTCATTTTTACATGGGATATTTATAGTACAAACCCGATGAAGGAAATACTATTGTTCAGTTTACTTACAACGATGCGCCAATATTAAAACTTTCTTCGTAATTTCTTCACCATTCAGCATTTCACACTTGTTCTTTGTCCCACGTAATGAAATATTGACTTTCTAGCCTTCTAGGATTGGATCGAACTCCGAACTATGTGCAAAAGCAAAAAAGGCAACATCTTAACTACTTGGTACACTAAAATATTAAATAATAGATTCGTTTTTTAAACCCATGAAACTTGAACAAACAAAGACCCCTTATACTTCATTTTATGATTGTATATGTATCATTAATGTCGAGTATATACACTTAGTAATTTCCAATTAGGAATATTAATTCATAATAAATTCTACCGATATTATAGGATTATTAAGAGAGGTCCCGCCTGACCTTCGTCATTTGAAATTCCAAGAGTATAATGCATGAAGCAGCTCTCCCAGGCAATATATTAGTGGACGTTTGGTTCACGGATTCAGAATCATAATTCAAAATTATTTTCGATTTACGTGTGTTTTTTATGAGAAAAAACACTATAGCGAGTAATGAACAATAATTCGAACCATGATACGAATCCTCCTACCAAACACTCTCTTAGTTAAACTCTATATACAATCATATGTTAATATCAATAATAAAGCTTACAGTAATCCATGAGCAGTAGTTGCCATATATAAACTCATGATAATCATGAAAAATGGGGGCAAAAAAAAAAAATGTGTCAAGCGTGGCGATCGATTACTAACAGTATTTGCAGAAGAGTCAAGCAGTCGTTATGTTGAATTTCGCCATATTGAATTTCTACATCCGATACATATATGGCAAAATTCAACGGACAATTCAAAATTAGCTTTCTTTATATACTACTGTAGTACTTCTGCAATCCAAAACACGAGGAGAGACGTAGTTATATATCAAATAAACGTGGAAGATCTATATATCGTACTTTCTCATCTCCTTGATTATCGGAATATGTGTTACATAATAAATAAATAATGTCAAATTATGACAAGCAGGTGGGCCGAGTAATCTTTGTATCCTAGTACGTACAAACACGACATCAACATATGGATTCATTGCACGCAAACAAATCCAGCTAGGTATAAAGATAAACATTGGAGAATATTTTGTTAATTCTACTGTTAACCCTAAGAATATGGAAGCCCGATATTACTATGATTCGTATTTTGTGTGTATATATATATATATATATATAGGTTGGGTCAATATACTGAATCATACATTTTTTGACAACTATGTTCAAATAACGCCGACTTGAATTACCTAACAATTAGCTTTATCTTGAATTTATAAATTTGTTCGTTTTTCTTGAGCCTCTAAACTGCAAAATATATATGACATTTTACTCTCAATATATATAAGCCTATTATAGGCTTCGATCGGTTTGGGTTTGTCCTACGTCGTTTAATTAATAATGTGATTAAGTCTCATAATTAATTTTTATGATACATGGTTACCAAAAAAAAATTATGATTCATGTTTAGTCATATAATTGATTGAGTTGCATTCGCACTATTGGTCACCGTATATATTTAGAAGGCTTTTTTGCATAGGACCTTCCTTAACTTTTTACGATTGGCAATCTGATCGCTAAATTTTTTTTTTTAAAAAAAAAAATTGGCTTCTTAACGTTTCAAATCTTTTGCAATTGAAGTCCAATTAAAAATGTCCGTTAAATGTTGTACGGATTTAATCACGTGACTTTTCTTAGAGGTATTAGATGGTCATTTCAGAAGAAACATAACCTTTTTCAAAAAAAAAAAAAACTAGAAATTCGGTTCATCTCTCTGTTTCTCTCACTCTCACTCTCACTGATCACTCCACAATAAGTTAAAGAAAATAAAAAAAACCACCCGAATTTTAATAAAAATGAACCTAAATTCAAAAAGTAAAAAACCAAATCCAATTCTAAATATTCTTCTTCTCTTCCCCAGTAATTTAACTCAAATCCACTTTCTTTCTTTCATCATCTTCCCTCACTCCCCTCAAACTCCCTTTTTTTTTTTTTCTCTCCAACAACGACAATGAAACCGCCATGGCCATGAACAGAAGAAGAACAACTTTTCTTCCGTAATTTCTCTCAAATACACAATTTAAATTATGACTTAAATTATGAAATTAACACCTTGATCCTGGTATAATAAAATTCAAATGGATTCTTTATCTTCAAAAGTAAAATAAGACGGATGATAAATGAATGTACAACAGTGCAAGAGATAAAATTAAATGATTGATGGATTTTAATAATTAAAAAAAAGGTATAACATTAATAATTAAAAGGGATTACATTATTTTATAAATCAAATCAACATTAAAATAATAGTGTTTGGATACGAGAACCAGTGAAAATTATATCTAACAAAAATAGATTTTTTAAATCTTTATTAAAGAAATATTAATCATCGGAGATATCAGAAATTTTAAAAGAATCAAAATAAAGAGGTCTTTGTTTCTTTAACTTTTCGAAGGACCAAGGTTGTTCAAGGCCCGTTTAAACATGGGTCTTAACGTTTAGGCTTCTTCCTCAAGTCACAGTAGTGTTTGGAAAAATAGAAATAAAAAATGGAGAATGTATGAGGTGTTTGGTTGGAGGATTCAATCGTAATTTGAATCATGGTTTATGGTTCGCTATAGTGTTTTCTCTCATAAAAAAATACACGTAAATAAAAAATGGTTCTAATTACATGATTCTAATCCATGAACCAAATACTTTGAGAGTGCATGAGTCTAGATTTTTATCTCTTATTCTTGATAAATACCCTTTTATTGGAGTAATTATTTAATTAAAAAAGTTATAAATTAAGAGTAAATAATAAAAATATTGACTCGTGCATTTTTTAAGAGTATTTATCAAGATTATCAAATGGAAATGAAGTTAGCCCATGGCCACATTGAATCACTTTTGTTTTTTTGAGGCAATAACAATAATGATATTAATGTGTTTCATTTTTGCTATACTTAGCGTCACCCTTTATCCCAAAAAGAAAAAAAGTACATGATCAGGAGTTCTTATTCTTTAATATATTTTCATTGGTATACTATACATATACATAATAACACTGATGATTACGGAGAGAGAAGGCATATTGTCAATGTTGTAGGGTAAAAATTCCAAGCCTTAGTCTGAATATTAGATGGGACCCATGTGAATTAAATGAAGATATTTAATAATCGGAGATTGTTTTACCCTAAGCTGCCATGCCGAACGAAGGTTCCTTTAGGAGAAAGATGCAAGTAAAGCAGAAAATATACGAAGTCGGTTGATCTCTCCGAGTGGTCGAGGAAAACAAGAAGTCGACTGCATTGGTGATCATAAGCAGAGATGACTCAGAGAACCCTTAGGAAGTTGAGTCCACGCAGATTGAGAGAGATACGAGGCCTGTCCCGAGATTTGTGACTTGTAATTAAAATAAGCGAAATAAGAGCGGAAGTAAGTGAAAAAATCCTGCTGATTGACAGAAATCCCAACCAACCGGGGATATTATCCCAAAATATGAGAAAAATATCCCGAAATAAAATAAGAGGAATTATAGAGAGTACAAGGGAGTATATATGTAGAAATGACAAGTTCAGAAATACATTCTGTAATCTCATTTTTCATAACACAGTAAATTTTTTTCCTCTTCACATTGTTTGTAATTCTTAATTAAAGGGTGAACCACTATAAATCTGTGTATTCCTACTTTATAATTACTTTTTGATCTTTCTAAAACACTTACTAGATTGTTAAAATCACGTTAATCATCTTTAAATTTAAATTAATTAATTTCTATCGTCAACAGTCAACTTATATATCTATACTTTTCCTTGACAGTATCCATTGACTTTTTACATGTCATTAACAATAGTGTAGAAAGAACAAATTTTAAATTCCAGATATATTCAAGCAAACAGTGAAATTCCAGGTATTATTACAGTGGTAAGATATTTGCAACTCAATTATACTGCTTTAGTAAACAGAACTCAATAACATGTGGTTTCTGCAATCACAGTATTCTGTCTCAAGCTGACCACTATTGTTGTCGACGGAATATTCTTCACTTTTCAGTTCCCAAAACCAGCCAACTTTTTCTGCAGTCAGACCAAGCAATGTTTCTTTATCACAAAGGGGGGAAAATAAAATCTCTTATCAGAGAGAGAGAACAAGAAGAAGATTATTTACATTCGTTCATTTTCTAAATCCCTTCTACTTTTGTAGAATCTACACAAAATGGAATACAACAGAAGGCTAAGTGCACTTGTCAAGGCCAAAAACCAGTAGTACTTGTCTAGCCTAGCTTCACACATGTCATCAGAAAACCAGCTATTATTTCCCTTTGACTTGGTCAAGTCTTCCACAACAGTTATAAGAAGTGCACTGAGAAAGCTCCCAACTCCAAACACGCTATTGTATAGAGCAAAAGCCATTGTTCTCATCCTAACAGGAACTTCAGAATAGAAGAATTCTTGCATCCCAACGACAGTGAATATGTCAGAAATGCCTAAAAGGATGTACTGGGGCAGCAGCCAAAATATGCTAAGTGGGACTGTCTCTGAATGTGAGCCATGAATCTCAGCTTTTCTACTAATCTTTAGCCTCTGTGTTTCCACACCTGCTGCTGTGACCATTGCTATGATCGAAAGACACATCCCGGTTCCCATTCTTTGCATCACGCTGATACCCTTTTCGTTTCGGGTGACCAGACGTGTGACTGGGATCAGAACTCTGTCATATAAAGGCATCAGGAGAATTATAGACAGAGTGATGGCACTCTGAAGTGTGGCTGGTGGAATCTGGAAGCTGCTTCCGATGTTTCTCTTCATTGTCATACCTTGTTTGGTAAAGAAGGTTGTAGGCAGTTGGAAGATCACAGCAAACATTAGGAGCATTGTCCATATGGGAAAAAGCCGAAGTACTACTTTCGTGTTTTCGAGCATGTAATTAGTACTTGTCGGATTCTTGTCCAAGCCCTCTGTGCTACTCCAGTTTTGGCGACAAAGAGGTTTCTCTTCAAGCCTAGATAGACAGCCAAGCCAAAAGCTACCGTCACAAACTCAAGCATATTACCAATTAGGTTACCTTTCTTGATAAAAAAAAAAAAAATCCAACAAGAAACTAAAAGACTTACTCTAGCTCGACAATGTCGTCGACATTCGGTAATGCTATTCTGCAACTTAGTAACTTTGATGCAGTTGCTTTGATGCTGTGAATTATGCTTACAATAGGCTTACTATTGTTTCCCATACTTTCAACCTGTTTGTATATGTAAATCCTACTTCCAAACGAGAAAAAAACAACTGATACAACCATTGCCAGGGCGAGAATAGCAAATCCGAGAACCCAACCAAAAGTGTCTTGGATGTAGGACATGACCGTGACTCCCAAAAGACTTCCACTGCAGACACCAAAATACCACCATTGGAAGAACGAGCTCTTGATGTTAGACTTTTGCTCATCTTTGGTGCTAGGCAATTCCTCTTCTTCATCAAGTTGATCTGCTCCAAAGGCTTGTAGAGATGAGTTGTACCCTCCTTGGCCTAGAGAAATCACGCAGAGAGACCAGAAGAGAAAGGTGGTTGACCTTGTTCTGTTTGCAGGAGACCAGGCCCATGCTGATGCTGATGACGTCAACGCCACTAGCCCCTAGAAAAAAGGACCAAAAATCATGAACTATAAGAATTTGACAAATCCCAAGTTGCTAGCATATATATTATGGACATGACATAGGCACACACTAATTCTGGGCCATATCATTCACCCCCCCCAAAAAAAAATATCATGGCACGACTAAAAATACAAAATTACGTCAGGTTTGTAAAACCATTCTTGGAAAAAAAAAATAATAATAAATAAATAGATTGAAACTCATGAGTAAGCAGCACTAAATTATTGAGTGGTAAATTATTGACCACCCTTCTTTTGTATTTTTCCCCTTTCTGACATGGGTTTCAAACAGGTAGCCAACAGCAGTATCTCACCAGGGTATCTAGTCATAAAACTAAATATGTATGTATAATTAATAAAACTCAAGTTTACTATAGTTATGTCAAGCCTTAAACAGAAGTGTTAATTAAGTTGTACACCATTCTAAAGAGTGGGATTTAATCATACCACCTTCATGTAAACATTAGGCTTAAACTTTTCCACAAAAATTGTATGTTTATTGAACCATAATCAACGAGACCAATATCCGAAAACAGACTACAATTTTCAAAGTTTCATGGAAAAAGAAATAAAAAACATCGACAGAGTGATGACTTACCACAACGTAGAGGAAAGAAGAGGCCAATATAGTTGTATATCTATGCAAATAAGAGTCAGCAAAGGGTGCAATTAGGAGTGGCAACATTGATGTGAACCCACCCCAACTGTTTACAGTCTTGGCTGCAGATGAGTTGCTCATCTTCAAAACATCTGTTAGATAAGTCACTAAATTTGATGCCACTCCTTTGAATGCAAATCTCTCCATACCAGCAATCACTGTTAATTAATAAACCAAAATAATAATAATAATAATAGAACCAAGTTATTAATTAGCACCCAAAAACAAGGCTCCTTAGTCAATGGAGGAATTAAGAAAACTGATACTGATGGGATAACTATTAAGGAGGTCCCCTCCATTACTCTATCCTATTAAAAAAATAATTTTTTGTACTCAATTAAGCAAAAGAGGGAAATAAGAGTAGTGTAGTGTTTACCTATGAGGAGAATGCATGAGTAGCTAAGACCCTTTTCTCTCAGAACTCCAGCCATGAGAAAGAGAATGAAATATTCAAGTGATGAGCCAAGTTGGTGGGTGTAATTTGCAATGAAGAATCCAAAACAAGAAGGGAAAAAATATCAGATTCCAAAGACAGATTTTATTCTGTCAGCTGTGGGGAAAAGACCAGTAATATTTTTCCCTTCATGATCTCCACCAATAAACAACAGTAGTACTAGTCTTGATCTAGCATATTGTTGTTGTTCCCCACTGTTGGTTTGTTTCCTTTCCTTTCTCAGTCTTTGTAACAAACACGTCAAACAGGGTCTTGGATTTTATAGCTTTAATGGGACACTAGATAAGGCACTACTAATTAAAGCTCCTCCAACATTGCTTTGCATTGTCCAATTATTAAAAAAAAAATTGCTTTGCATTATTTGAAAAAAAAAAAAAAAAGAAGCTAAAACCTCCACTTTAGAATACTGGTTTGGATGGACATTTTTAATGGTGTCATTGCCAATCGACTTTATGTCAACATACTACAAAGCTTTAGTCCATGAATGATAATGAAAATAAAAGAATGAATCGTTTGTTAGATTGCTCTTTGTTGATGCACCTCCTGAAGTACTGCCACTTCACTGCCATGTGGCGTCCTCTTGACACGTAGGTGACTGTGACTGTGCCTGTGCCAACTAAGCCAAAAGATTCTTAGAGTGATATTATATGTTATTGTGAATTTTTTATTAGCAATAATATGGACAATACAAAAAAAAAACAATTCATAACAACTTATAAGAATATCAAAATATAGAAATAGTTACAATACGAATTCAACATTTCTATCAAATTTGAAAACCGAATTGTAAGGATGTTGAGGCACGTAAACCACTCTTTCTTTAAAACAGATTCGTCCTCTCTGGCGAGTACTTGAGGTAACGTTGGACGTCCGTCTCCTAGGATACAACAACAACAACAGTAGAACGACGCACAATTGGAACCGTCCGGCGAACTAGAACTGCACTTTTCCTCTATCACCAAAACACTATACAAAAGAATTGCAAGAAGAACTCAGAAAAACAAGAGGAAGAACTCGAGAGAGAGGTGAAGAGTGCTCTGTGCAAGTGTGTATTCCTTCATGTGTTACAAGCCTTATATAGGCTCTTGAGAAAGGGGTTTCAAAACGAGGAATTATGGGACTTAATCACCCAATTATGATCCATTCTTTATGGTGCAAAACCGTGCTCCTTCCTTTGAGATGAATCCGGCCACAAACCATAGGTAGGTTTGGATTTTAAGAAGAAAAAAACCGAAGCCATTAAGTTGGCCATTATCTCACAATTAAGCTAAGCCATTAAGCCCCTTTAATCATCATTATGCAAAAACGGTTTTGGCTGAACGTGGAAGGTTTTGTGCCGAACCAAAAAATAAAAAACGCAAAGCAAAGCTCGCACAAAGCGGATTTTTCGGTTCGGCATTCGTGTCCGCAAGCGCACACATTGGGCCCTTAACCCGCCAGGACTGTGATTTACACCACCCTCTCGCGACGCAACGGAGAATGCAAATCCATTAAGACCCATCCCAAAATTCAATTGACCCCCTTCTAAAATGGGCCTCAAAATGAGTCTTTAATATAGCTTAACAAGCCATTTTCCAACATTTTTCTCGTTCTCAAAGTTAGAACCGTAAGTCAAATTAACAGTTACATTAGTGAACAGAACCATAAATGATTTTCCTACTATGAAACTGAAGAAAACTTGAAAATCATAAACCTTTGAGAAAAAAAAAAACTGACAAAAATTCTCGATTTCTAATCAGAGTCATCACTTTGACCCGGGTCAATTATTATATGAGAATCTAGTCACCACGAGGAAATTAAAAGCAGAAAAATTCCTTGTCTGATTTTAGCCAAGATCAGAAAATTCCTTAAAAACTAGTTTTTTTCCCCACATAAACATATATAGCAATAAGACATTGTTGAGTCATGTCACATAATTTCAAGAGATATATATATATATATATATATATGAATATGAGAGTAGGAATTCATGAATCTCACGTACCCACTAGTAAAAAACCACTTTTGGATATTTGAGTCCATTAACCTCCATTAAAGAGCCTTTTTTGGCCTAGAAAACTTCACGTAATTATAGACCCCATGATGATCAGTTTGGTTTTTTTTTTACTTTTTAGTTATCGTGCCGTGTCAACATTGTGTAAATATTGATCAGGTAATTAAGCGTTATCTTTTTTTTTTTTGTCTGCTCCAACCCCCATAAAAAGTTGGTGCTTGCTGACTGAATAAACTGAAATTGGACTCGTATATATACATTGGTTTTTCTCTGATACGTTACGCTGGCGAACAAAAAACACCATATATATATATATATATATGCAGATATAAATATATATGCTAAATGACAAACTGTTCAGAGTGGCTAAGAAGAAGGCCAAAAACGTACGAAGGGCACAAACACACACACAATTTACACATGCAAACACACAAACAACACGCAGACTTTAAAAAAGATCACTAGGAGTGATTTACAGTGCTGGCTGACGAGGACTTTTTTTTTTGGGACCAACTATGAAGAAGAAACGGAAAAAAAAAAAAAACCAAAAACCAAAAACTAATGTCAGTATATAATTAGCAATTAGCCGCAAGTGAAGTGTTTAAATGGACAAACGGTGATCGTAGACTAGAAGGGGATAATTATAGCTGGCTTTTTGGTGCTTGGGAAAGTAAGCAGATAATGTACGTAGCAGCCCCCACTTTGGTGGTTCCCTGAGACGGATTGCACTAATTAATCTTGGTCTTAAAATGGGCACCACCACTAATGAGCTTGTTGGCATTTGGCAAGAAAGAAAACAGTTTCGATGTCTAAAGATATATATATATATATATATATACATATTATTGTTAAGATCACTCACGTTTCTTGTGTAGATTCATTGGTCATGTGGCTGAAAATATGCATATATATATATATAATCTTCAGCCACATGACCAATGAATCTACACAAGAAACGTGAGTGATCTTAACAATAATATGTTTATATATATATATATATATATCTTCAGCCACATGACCAATGAATCTACACAAGAAACGTGAGTGATCTTAACAATAATATGTTTATATATATATATATATATATCTTCAGCCACATGACCAATGAATCTACACCAGAAACGTGAGTGATCTTAACAATAATATGTTTATATATATATATATATATATGCATATCTTCAGCCACATGACCAATGAATCTACACAAGAAACGTTAGTGATCTTAACAATAATATGTTTTCTTTAACTTTGCTAGGTGTGACTATCCAAATCCCACCTCATGAAGCTAGCATTTAACAATGAGACTTTGGCAAACCAAGAGTACTTTCAGCATAGGGCTCTTTACTCAAATAACTCAAAATTATGGCTTGAATTGGCTTACACCATGGGCCAACAAAAAATATTTAGAGAAAATGTAACGCCATATCATATATTATTATATTTATTGATACCGAATACATACTTTTAAGATACCGAACAATAATCGTCGTGATACTAATGATTTAATGACGAGATCTACCGTGGTACCGATTGATTGCCGCCAAGTGTGACTATCCGAATTCCCCTTCAAGTGTATGTTGAGAGAGTATATATTTATGAGCATTTCAATATGAGGCTAACAATTCCAAATTAAAGTACTTTCAGCTTATCATTATACTTTTTAAAAGAAGTAATTTTTATTCAAAAGTTTATTACCCAACAACTCATGTGTGATTATTATTTTCATGTGCATCAGAATTGTGACAAATACGGACCCTCTGGCCTTGCTTATAAAGCGTGCATCTAAGTAAAATCTAAAGTCTAACGTCCCTTCAAAAGTCAAAAGATACACATTGGAAACAAAGGTCATGAGTACCATTTAGAAGACGTTTTACCAATCCAAAATTACGTCCAGTAGTCTTTTATTTTTAGGAAGTGAGTGGTTTTTACAATTTTTTTGTTAACTTAGAGGTGGAGAATTAAAATTTTAGATCTTTTCAATATGAATTTATACTCAAGACGGATATTCATGAAGAATTTACAAAATCTCACTTTCAAAAAAAAAAAAAAAAAAAAAAAAAAAAAAAAACACAGGTGGAAATTGGAAATGATATTTTTGGGGCATATACAAACATTTTCTACTGTTGTAACTTCCCCTATAGACTGGGCTGTCATTGAAATTATTTGGCTCATGATCCTCTATCATTTCCTATATATGTCTACGTAGTTGTTCCCCAGTACTAGTTTATTGCACAGTTTTTTTTTTTGTTTTTTTTGTTTTGATAATTTAGTTTATTGCTCAGTTGACACGTAAGGAACAACACTATAGTATGAGTGCGCCAACTTGAAGCACATCAAAACACTTAATCTTATGCGTCCATCAAAATTAGTTTATTACAACTATATGATTGATCTTAGATTAATCCATTTGAATGTCGATAGTTTACTAAGATTTCATGATTCATGAAGCTAAATATCCCATAATTTCAAACTCAGGCCACCATTAAGTTATGCTGTTGACGATCATGATTCACTTTCAAAAAGAAGTATATTCTTGATAATGCTCAAAGCTGGCTATTCAACACATAGAACATGCAAAAACACAATATAGCAAGTTGACAATCTATTGCTTCAGTTCTAGCAAAAGACAAAGGTATCAGTACGACAAGGCAAAATGATATTAATTCATGCAAACTGAATATATATTCAGAGCAGAGGTGGAGAACTGATTTAGAAACATTAATAATTATAAGCTATATAGGAAACGAAATTCATTTTTATCCACATATATGTGCAGTTCGAAAATGGAGTAAATAAAATAATTCTCAGTTGTTGACTGATCAAAAAAGATCTCCGCACAAGATAAATATCGTTGCTGGCTTTTTGCGTACAGATGGCATAGGTATGATCATGAATGTTTACAATTTAATATAATTCTTCCTTAGACGAAATACATGAAGGCAAATTAACAGGAAATTATTTATATGCTTTGATCAATTACCTCATCGTGATGATGATATAAAAAGACCAGGATGAGACGTCGGAATCCACCGACGGCAAAGCACAGTAGTAGTGTTCTTCTATATTTATATATTTATATATATACACGTCAGTTTCCTTATTAAGGGTGAAACTAGAGAGAGAGAGAGAGAGAGAGAGAGAGAGGTTAAGCGTGATAGAAATGTTCAAAACATAGCACTTATAGCAGGTGAATTAGATTAATATTCTAGCGAAACGCCGT